TTTATTTTCTTTAACTTTACTATACGCTTATTTATCGTTATAAACTAGTTTTAAAAATCTATAATTATAATAGAAGCGATTAAAGTTATCGCTATCGTATATTTTTATAACTTATATTATTAAGTAATCTTCTTATTAAGCTTAGTTTATCGATAAGATAACTTCTAAAACTATTTAATACGACGATAGCGTTATATTAATTTTCTTATCTATATTTAAAGATATAAAGAAATTTTAATATAGCGATTAATATCGCGTCTTTTAGTCTTATAGTTATTATAGAGAGAAGATTTATTTTAAATATATAAATCGTCGTCTTAATAAAAGTAAGTTTTATATAATAAATTAGATATTAGAATTTATTAATAGATATATATATAAAGTAATAGTAATAGAAATAGTTAAGAATTAATAGTCGCGTCTATAAGACGACTATATATTTACTATTAAAGTTATTATTATTATTAAAAAAGAATATTATAAAATTATTAATTTATATATTAACGCGATTAATAATAATAAGATACTTATAATAAAGAGAAGTAGATTACTAGTATAATAAGATATATTATATTTATATTAATATTAATATTAATATTATAGCATTAAAGTAAATACTTATAAGAGAAATATTAGAAGTTATAAAGAATAAAAATAAATAATTCGAAGAGGATTTTTATATTTTTTATTATAGCGCTATTATTAATAGATAGTATTTAATAATATAAATAGTAGCGATATAATTATATTTCGCTATTATCTATAAAGTCGCGTCGTCTAACTATTATTATTATTTCTACTATTATTATTAATTAATAATTAAAAGTATTATCGCGAACGCGTTACTTTATTAATTATTTCCTTCGAATTTTTATAATAAAGATTATTATTACGTTATTTCGCTATAAACGTAATACGCTATAGAAATAATATTATTTATAGAAAAACTCTTCTTTCTTTATTTATCTATTAGATTTTTTAAGATTTTATTATAAATTCTTAAATTTAATATTATTCGCTATAGAGGCTATTAACTAGCGCTATAAAAACGCTAATATTAAATATATCGATTTATTATAAATTACTATTAATTAATATTATAGAAATAATATTATTTTTAAAAATAGTATTAATATTATTATATAATATATTAATAACGCGTTTACGACGCGTAATAGTTAATTCTATTATTTTATTAAAATAATATCGTAATAAATCGACTCTTTTCTCTTATTTTTCTATTAGAGTTTAAAGATTTTTTAATAAGTATTTTATTTCTATTTAGACGTCTAAAGATTAAGATTTAGAAGAGAAGATAATTATTAGATTTAATATTATTATAAGCCTTAGCGCTACTTACGCTAAAGCGTCGATATTATATATATTATATTAAGATTTCTTTTAGAGTTTAATTTTAATAATATATCTTATATACTTAGAGACTTAACGAATATAGATTTACTTTATATATCTCGAAGTTTTAATATTTCTTAGAGATTAATTCTACTATTAAATATACTATTAAATCTTATAATAATACTATATCTTTTATAGTCTATATTCGCTAGCTAACTACTAGTAAACTACGCTCTTATAAATACTTAATAATATTTTATAATTAAATTTATAGATATAGAGACGCTAGCTTTTCTAATAATTAAGATTAAAAAATAAATCTCGATAAATTAAAATTTAATTTTACTATAATTTAAAAAGAAGAAATTATTATAGTTAAAAGAAATAGAAGATTATAAAATTATAATAGAAGAAAACTTAAAGAAGAATAATAATTATAATTATATTATATATAGCTTTAGTATAAAAAGCCTCGCGCTCTAACTAGCTCGCTCGAATAAGATTAATAATTATTATTTTTATTATCGCGTTTTAATATTTATTCTTTTCTTCTTAATAGACTTATTATAATAAATTTATTATATATCTTATACTCTTATTATTACTTATAATATATATTTTATAATTATTTTTAAATTATAAGATAATACTTAAGTATTAAAAATAATAATTTAAATTATTAATATATCTTAAAAGTTAACTCTATTATAATAATTATTATAATTAAATAATAATCGAATTATTATAAATCTTAATAAGAAGATAATTATATATTCTATTAGCTCGATAAATTATAATTTAATATTATATATATTATTAGAAAATCTTTAATTATATAATTATTATCTAAGATTAAATTCTTATAAAATTATATATTTATTATTATTTATAATAAGATAATATAAAAAGCTATAGACTTATTATAATATATCTATTATAATATATTTATTATAATATATTTATTATTTATCTTTACTTATAAAATTAATATTAATATTCGCTTAATTTCTATTATATTATTTATTATTTAATATCGATAGCGCTATAAGACGCTTCTTATTATAAAGAGCTATAAGATATATAAAAATATACTTTTTATATTAACGAATTTAGATTAATAAAATTAACTCTTTTATATATATTTAAATTATTAAAATAAAGAAGAAAATCGTCTAGCGAATAATAGAAGTTTCGATATATATTTAAAATCTTTTTACTAAAATTCTATTAATAATAATAAATTAATCTTCTCTTTCTTCGATAATTTCTCTTCTTCTTTCTTTATTAATTTCTCTCTTTTACTCTTATTCTACACTTTTAAAAGCGAAGCTTTTTTTATCTTAATTATTAAGTATTAAAATTCAATTATAACTCTCTATATTAAACTCTCTAAATACTCTCTTTTTAACTTTATTTATTCTTTTAAAAGTAGAAATAAATTATTTATTTATTAGCGATAAGATAATTAATTAATATAAGAAATATATATTATTAATAAATAATAGATAAAATAGAAGATAATAAATATTACTACTATATCGAAAAAATAATTAATAATAAAAAATTATATATAATAATTTACTATTTTACTTATAAGAAGTTTGAATATTTTTTTTATATTAAAAGATATTTAAGTATAAAAATTAATATCTCTTATTTATTCTATTATATAGTATATATTAAAATAAAGAAGCTATAGACTTAAAAAAATAAATTATCTCTATTTCGCTCTCCGCTTTACTCTTTATAAGTTCGATTATTTATTTATTTATATATATCGCTATAGTAATACTTTATTTATTTATTTATTTATATATATTATTATAATAACTCTTATAAATCTAATTATTTAAAAAATAAAAGAAAATTATAATATTTAATTAAAATAATAAACTAATTAGCGAGATTACGATATTTTTCTTAATATATTATATTATTAATTCGATAAATATTATAGTAATTATCTTAAAAATTATATATTATAAGAAAATTTCTATATAATATTACGCGTTTATTAAAATATATAATATTTTTAAATATTAATATTACTACTATAATTAAGTTAACTAAATTTTTTAATAAAATAAAATTAAAAGTTTACTTTTTAATTATTATACTATAACTTTTAAATTAATAAAAATCTATTTAACTATTTATTTAACTTTTATTAAAATTTTTAAAAAAGACTATATTACGTAGTTACGTATTTTTATTAATAATTATATATATATAAAGTATAAATATTATATATCGAGTAATATATTAAAAAATTAAGTCTTAATAGAGTTTTCTATTTAGATTTATTTTAAGATTAATAAGATTAAATTAAGATTATATATAAAAGACTATAACGCTTAATAATATTATATATTAAATTAATATAATATTAAGATTTAATATATATAACTAGTAAATATAAAAGAAAATTTATTATAACTTATATAAAGAAGAATAGATTTTAATATTAATAATATAAGATTTATATAATATTAAATTTTAATATATATAAACGAATATATAACGCTAAATTTCGATATATATAAACGAATATATAACGTTAAATTTTAATATATATAAATAAATATATAACGTTAAATTTCGACGTATATAAATAAATATATAACGTTAAATTTTAACGTATATAAACGAATATATAACGTTAAATTTTAGCGTATATAAATAAATATATAACGTTAAATTTTAATATATATAAATAAATATATAACGTTAAATTCTAGCGTATATAAATAAATATATAACGTTAAATTCTAATATATATAAACGAATATATAACGCTAAATTCTAATATATATAAACGAATATATAACGCTAAATTCTAGCGTATATAAACGAATATATAATATTAAATTTTAATATATATAAATAAATATATAACTTCTAGCGTATATAAACGAATATATAACGCTAAATTTTAATATATATAAACGAATATATAACGCTAAATTCTAGCGTATATAAACGAAAATATTATATTATAATAATCTTATTTTTTTTTAATAAAGATAAATCTTAAATTCGATTTCGAAGATCTTTAAATTTATATTTTATTTACTATTAAGTATTTATATTAATAATTATACTATATAAAATATTTAAATAATATAAAATAATTTAAATAATAGAAATTAAGTTAGATTTTAAAAATTTTATAGAGAAAATTTAAATTATAACTAGGTTTATAGATATAGAATTAGATATCTTACGTAGTAAAGTAGAGTATATGTTAAAAATAGCGAGCCTTAAGGACGAGAATAATCGATTGATTCTCCAACTGCTTCTCTGGAATAGGACTATTTTTCATACAAATTTGGGTGGCTGGGAATCCCAGCCCCCACACCAGTCCCCGCACCAACTTTGAAGGCCAAATCTCAACAGCATACCTTAGGGCTTAGCGCTTATGCCCCAACATTAATATTCCAGCAACTTTGTCCTTAACTTTCTGTTCTTCACACTCATTGTTGTATGGCCCATGCTGATGCTAGATCGTCAACATCTACCTATCTAATACAACAGTTCATGATACTTATGTTCAAGCACTTGACTGCACTTGTCTCTACTCTACTCTATTCTGCTCAATTTTTTCAAACTTGGATCTTGATCATCCGCTGGTCTTTGTTCAGACCATGTCTGTTCTCCTCGAGCCTGACAAAGCACTCTTGGATTGTATATTTTCCCATTCCAAGCCAACAAGCATAACCATCTTATCCCAAACGTATGAAGTGTGCACCTTCATCGCACATTTGGACGCTACTCGCCCCACTGAACCATTGCCTGGAAATGTCGTCGTACGTCTTGAGCTTCCATCAAAAGTTCCCCTACGCACCGTCTCGGCTCTTCAACAACTGGCAACATTGGCGATCCCAGAAGTCGTTCCGGCTGTGTTCCAAACCGGTACCGCAAAACCGGGGGACGGACGAGAAATCTATTTTTCCGTTTCGGCCTTTGTGGACAACGCTGTGACGCTGGAGACGGTCTGGGATGATTTGACAGACCATCAGCAATCCGACATCATGGACACGGTGCTGGATGCAGTGACGAAGCTTCAGAATCTTGATCTGGCGGATGAATCCGTTCTGGCAATCCTGAAAGCCGGCGGGAGCGGGGTCTTTTTCAAAACGACTGGGAAAGAAGGAGATGTCTCGTCCAGCAACCCGAACAACGTAGCTCTCGGGAATCGAGAAATCGGATTCTTCAACGACATGCCCAATCTCCTCACGGCCATCATCGCGTACAACGGCGTGAGCAAAAAATTGACGTTGAGCCCCAGCGTGAGTGAACCAAGCGACGACAACAATGGCATCGTGATGGCCTCTACGGACGAAGAAATCCCAACGGTCCTCCACATCGGGCGAAAGGATCTCGAATCGCTCCAGCGAGATGCCGTGCTCTGCCACAATGACCTCGAACCGCGCAATCTACTCGTCCGCCCGGTGGATGTGGTGAGCGACGGCGGCGCATCGATCCAACGGTACGACCTGGCCGCCATCATCGACTGGGAAATGGCCGGGTTCTTCCCCTTCGCCTACGAGTACGTTACGAAGGACGCCCTCCTCGGCAGTTCAAACACATCTTTCAGCTGGTATTCTCTCTTCAAACGACGCACGGCACCACTGCTTCCTGCAGAATTGGCTCAACCATCATCCAATAAGTCTCAGACGTTTTTGATGGAAGCGATGGATCGGATACAGCGATCCAGGGGGCAGAAGAGAAGAAACGTCGGGGCCTTGTTTCGAGAACGATGGATCGAAAGGAAGCAACTGGTACCTGGCGCGTTTCTGGGGTCCGGATGGGTCAGACGGCCCGATGCAACGAGCGACGTCAGAGTGTACCGTAAAGAGGATAATGAACTGCTCGAGGAAGAGGTTTTGAAAGAGCTGGGCTTGCTGTAGATGGGTTCCTTCCTACCTCCCTCCATAAGTCACGGTACAATACAAAACAAAGCAAAGCAAATAACACTAGTAATGTAAGCTCCTCACGTAGCAAGACAATTGACGATGATGGGAGAGGCTGAAACTATCAAACAAGCGAGCTTTCAAAAACCTCCCCCTCTCCCTTCCCTTCCCTTCCCTTCCCTCCCCTCCTTCCCCTTCTTTCCTTTTTCTCTACCCTTCCTAAACCAGGATTACTTCCCCCATTCTTCCCTTTCCTTTCTTTTAAAGATCGTGGCCTTAGACGACCTCCCATACCCATAAGCAAAGCCAACTATTCCATACATACGGAGGTCGGTAATATGTGCTGGGGCGTGTCCTTCCCAGTAGTGAAAAGCTTGCCAAGTACTGGTTTTCAACTATTTTTGATTCTCAGGGAGATCCCCTAAAACCCCTCGGACCCTTCGGGGGCTCTTTAAGGGCTCTCCGAGAGCTTCTATCGAGGGGCTGTCAAAGCAAGCTCGAAATTTGATTATTTTAGTGATGGGCTAATTACTAATTCATACCCCGAAACTATGAATCCTTACCGAATCATACCCCTAATTACTGAATCATACCCCTAGGGGTATGATTCAGTAATTTGCCATTACTTGGGGTATGATTCGGTAATTTGCCATTCATGATAAAAATCGCAAAGGAGAAAATTCGCGACCTGGGCCATCCGACCATAGAAAAGAGGAAATATCTCCGACCGTATTCAATGTGTGACCTACCAGCTTAAAAATACATCAGACGAAAGCCGAGTGGGTGTTAGCAGCAGCCCCCACGGGGCCCTATTTAGGTTCAAATAGGGGTGTCTGGCTGTCAAGCGCAAACACCCCCGGGACCTGTCTGGCTGTCAAGCGCAGACACCCCCGGGACCAGGCTTTTTTGCGCTTGACAGCCAGACACCCCTATTTGGACCTAAATAGGGCCCCCGTGGGGGCTGTTGCTAACAGTGGGCTAAATTTGGCCCCCCAGCCTGTCTACACCCAGTCTGTGACTCTCACACACAGTCTTCACTCGCAATCATCTGCAAATCTGAAAAGTTCCTGCAAAATTTGAAATTGCTGATCGCGCGTTTATCGCGGAAATCACAAAATCCGCCGGATCAGTAAATCTGATTAGAATCCGCCTAAATTCCGTCGGTTTAGTAATTATCTTAACCTTTTTTATTAGTTCTATTAATTTAGTAGTAATATATACGAAAAAAGAAAAGTTCTAATAATCGACGTTATAATGATAAGATTTTATAATAATAAATATTAACGTTAACTCAAATTTAGCTATAAAATTAAACGATTTAATAAAATTAATTACGTAAGTAATACTCTAATATAATATATAATAATACGTATATTAATGATAATATATATTAATATTATATATATATAGAATAGTACTTAAAGTATATTAGAGTATATTACGTAAAATTTTTAAAGTTATTAAAAAATTTTTAAAGTTACTAAATTAATAGAATTAGTGAAAAGAATTAAATATAGATAAAGTTTACTTAATAGACTAAATCGTATTAAATCGTACTTATAATACGAACTCGACGAAAATCGTATAGAAATTCACTTTTTAAATTTATAGATAATAGTCTATATAGTAAGTTTAATAAATTACTAAATTATACCCTAAGCAATTAATTCTTATCGAATTATATTTTAAATTTTAATATAGAGATATAATTTAGTAATTAGAGATATAATTCGATAAGAATTTATAGTTTCGAGATATGATTCGATAATTAGCCCTTTTAGTAATATTTAATTAATTTTAAGCTTGCTTTAATAGTCCCTCGATAGAAGCTCTCGGAGAGCTCTTAAAGAGCTTCGAAGGGTTTAAGAGATTTTAAGGGATCTAACTCTGAGAATCGAGAGAGACGTTAAAGAGAGACGTTGGAGAGAGACGTTGGAGAGAGACGTTGGGGAGAGACGTTGGAGAGAGACGTTGGAGAGAGACGTTGGAGAGAGACGTTGGAGAGAGACGTTGGAGAGAGACGTTGGAGAGAGACGTTGGAGAGAGACGTTGGAGAGAGACGTTGGAGAGAGACGTTGGAGAGAGACGTTGGAGAGAGATATTAGAGAGAGACGTTATACGGAGAATAATATTAAAAGTTCTATATATACGCTAAATCTCTTAGTATACTTAATAAATATTCTAAATATTTTAAATATTCTTAATATTACTACTTTTTACTTAATAGCGACGTTAATACTATATATACGAGGTATATATATACGAAGTATATATATAAAGTATTATTACTAGAAAAATAAAGCTATCTAAGAAAAAGATTAGATTTATTAAAATGTTAAGTATATTAAGAGATTTAGCGTATATATAAGACTTTTAATATTATCCTTCGTAGTTTACTAAGAATCGAGAGAGATATTATAATTTATTTAATATACTTAGAGAAAGACCCTCTAAAATCCCTCTAATTCTTCGAGGACTTCTATCGAAGAGACTCTTCTCGTAAGCTCGATAATTTAAATAAAAATCTTAGTTTTTAGTATATCTTTACGAATACTTTATTAAATTTCGTCTTCGCTACTTTATTTAAAAGCGTATAATTAACTCTATAACTTTATAAATTTACTTTATTATCATTTATTACGTAATATTAAAGAAATTAAATAGAATAATTTAATAAAGTTAATATTAAAGATTTAGTCTTATAATACTTCCTCTTTTAGATATATTCGTATTTAGAACGAAAATAAAGAAATAAGATATATTTTAGATTAGAAATCGTAGTTTTAAAGAATCTAATTAATTAATCTTAAATTTATAGTTATTAAATATTTTATAATTTTAATCTTAAGTAATAAGAAAGTAAGCTTTTTAATTAAAAGTTCTAGATATATTAAGATAAGAGTTTAAATAGAGCTAAGTACTTAATATACTTTTAAATTTTATAAATAATATTATTATTCTTTATTTTAAGAAGTATTAATACTCTATATAATAGCGACGTAGTATATATATATAAAGTATAAATATACGAAGTATATATATAATAGCGATATTAATAGAATATATAATAGTAATAATATTAAAGTACTAATTATAGTATAAAGAAATAAAGAAAGAGTATAAAGACTTTTAATATATAAGTCTTATATTAGAGAATAAATCGTATATCGAATAATAATATTAGTAATATTATATAAATAAAATATTAACTATAAAGGTTACTAAGTAATATATATATTAAAGTTATTAGAGTATTAAGTCGCTAAGAAGCTAGCTCGAATAAAGTCTAGCGTAAGTCTAGAGAAGAAATATCGATTAAAATTATAATATCTTATTAATATATATAAAAGAATAAGATAGAGCTAAGTTAGAAAATCTTAAATTTATATATATAGCTAATTATAAATTTAAGATTATTATATCTTTTAGCTAGATCGACTAAGTTAGTCTAATAACTCTCTTAAGCTTTCTTATTAAAAATTTATATATAGAAATCTTATACTTTAAAGTACTTAACTTATAATATATATAATTACTTTATAATTTCTTAAATTATAAAGCTCGCTTTACGCTTTTTAACGCTATAAAAATTACGAAGTTTAATTTACTATTAATAAATTAAATAAATATTTAAATATAATAGTTATAATAGTTATATTAAACGCGTTTAAAATCGAATAATAATTCTTTTATCTATTTATATAACTATTCTTCTTTTACTATTTTATTAATACTATTAATTTCATTAATATAAATATAATCGTCTTCGATTTTAGATATATATATCTTTATTACTTATCTCTTAGAGTCTCTATTAATACTCTTAGATTATCTCTCGACGAATTTATTATTATTAATAATCGAGGTCGTAAGCGAGCTTAATAGCTATCTACTACTACTTATAAACGTATTAAAAGACTTTTAAAGAGCTCGAATAAATGAATAAATATATTTTTCTCTATATACTTCTTTTAAGTTAGTAATAGTACTTTTTAATTTAGCGATACTATCTTCTAAAATATATCTTTCTCTTCTATCTATTTTTTATTATTCTATTTTAAAATTTCTTAATATATATTAAATTCTAAATATTATTAAAAAGAAGCTTTTAAAAATATAATAATTATATTAAATATATTCGAGATTAAATAATAATTCTTTTATCTATTTATATAATTATTCTTCTTTTATAAATTTATTAAATTTATTAATTTTATTAATATAAATATATTTATTCTCGATATTCTTATATTTAATTAAATAAGAGAAGAAACTATAATAAGTAAATACGAAGAATATTATAAAGAATACTATAAAGAATATTATAAAGAATACTATATCTATAAATCTAAAAAGTTTCTTTTCATATAATTTCCGTCGAGTTTATATTATAAGTACGATTTAGTATAATTTAGTCTATTAAGTAGACTTTATCTATATTTAATTCTTTTCGCCGATTTAGTAACTATTTTAATTCTTTTTACTAGTTCTATTAGTTTAGCAACTTTAAAAATTTTTAATAACTTTAAAAATTTTACGTAATATACTCTAATATACTCTAAGTACTATTCTATATATATATGATATTAATATATATCATTATTAATATACGTATTATTATACGCTATATTAGAGTATTATCTACGCGATTAATTTTATTAAATTATCTAATTCTATAGTCAAATTTAAGTTAGCGTTAATATTTATTATTATAGAATCTTATCGTCGTAATATCGATTATTAGAACTTTTTTTTTTTATTACGTATTACTATTAAACTAATAGAACTAATAAAAAAGATTAAGATAGTTACTAAATCGGCGAAATTTAGACGAATTCTAATTAGATTTACTAAATCGATAGAATTTGGGCGGATTCTAATTCGATTTACTAATTTAACGAATTTTATAATTTCCGCGATAAACGCGCGATTAGCAATTTTAAATTTTATAGAAACTTTTTAGATTTATAGATATATAAAGAAATTAAGCGATAATA